GACTCTTGAGATTTTTCCCAGTCGGTGATAAATTTATTAATAGAGTTGATGAATTCTTGCTCTTTCAAAATGCAAGTGTTTAATTTCCATATACCTGGCCCACGTATAGGGGCTGAGAAATTGAGGGAAAGAGAAATCCTATCATGATCAGAGTGAGGAAAGGGATCGATGCGGGGTTTATTAAAAATGTCACGAAAATTCCTTGAAGTGTAAAATTTATCAATTCGACTAAATGAACCACGAGAACTAGAAAAAGTAAATTCCTTAGAAGAGGGGTTTTGAATACGCCAGATATCTTCTAAGGCATAAGAAGACAGAACTGCTTTTAAATTATTAGCAGTTTTTTCAACATAATTAACGGGGTTGGAGCGATCTGAGGGATCCAGTACGCAGTTAAAATCACCTCCTAAAATTATAGGAAAGTCTTGAGGAAAATTGTCTAAAACCTTATTGAGCTCGTTAAAAAATTCCTTACGATTTGCAATGCCGTCGAGACCGCCTGTGGGAGCGTATACGTTGCCTAAGATCAATCTATTGTCATCGATTGAAAGGTCGAGAACAATTAGATGGCCTGTGTCGGAAGTATGGCGTGAATGGATTGTGGTTTTCAATCTATCAGAAATAAGAATAGAGACACCCTTTCTATTATCTTTACCAAAGGAATGAAAGGAAGTGCCGGGCCATTGCGAAAATACATTGTTAACATTAACGGGATTAAGGTGGGTTTCTTGCAGGAATAAAATATCAGGCTTAAGGCTATAGAGGTGACGTAAGATTGAATCCGAGCGACGGGGGTCGTTCAACCCATTCACGTTGATACTCGCAACACAAGCCATGAGAAAAAATAAGAACGAAATAAAAACATTGAAAAGTGAAGAAAATTAAGGTTTTAATTAAGAGTTCTCACCAGTGGGTTTTTTACGTACAACGTTCTTTTCAGGGGTTGAAGGAACTGGTCTTTTGGATGTTTTTCTTGTGAAGGGGGCGTATTCGTTGGGGGCTTTGGTCAGTTTTTTGCTTGGTCTTTGTGGCTTTGGTTCCAGTGTCGGATCTTGTTGCGAAGTAATGTTTACAGCTGTTTGGCTAGCGTTGGGGCTTTCGGGCGTTGTAGAGGTGGTGGGGGGTTCATCCTCGCTCGCTGTATTTGTTTTGGCGGATTCATCGTCAATTTCTTCTCCGTCCTCATTATCGCTGATAGGGGTTGGCTCGATTTGATCTTCAACCTCTCCACTGTAACGTCTGCCTCGGGCTCTTTTCAGGGTAACAAACTTCAAACAGTCTTTTTTTGAGTGGTCAGTGGAACCGCAAAGGTAGCAGTGACGCATGTCTCTGGCGGGGCAATCCGAAGTTCTGTGTGTATCTGCCATGCAGATATTACAAAAAACGGGTTTGCCCCTGTAAGAGAGAGAAATCTTCTTGTTTCGCAGAATTACGAAGGGGGGTAATTCAGTGCTTCCTGAAGGGAAAATTGTAGCCAGGCGTTTTCCGTTGAAAATGTTGGGAAAACCCTCCCAAGTTTGTTTCCAAACGCGGGTTACGGTACCGTAAAGCGAGAGAATGCTCCCAATTTCATTGTCCGAAATATCTGGTGAAGCGTCCGGGATGGTGATGAGTAAGGCTCTTCTTCTTACTGGAGTAAAAGCAATGCCAGGGTCATCTTCTGGGAGGGACGGAAATATGACGAGCTCCTCTATAACCGTGTCAACCATGGAGGGCTTTGAAAAAATGATGTTCCACTTACGTCTGCCAGGAAGCGCGGCGAGTGGCATAAGTTGTTGGACACAGTTCTCATCCTTGAATTTACGGTGAAAATAATTAATAATTTCTTTGTGGTCAATGGTGTCGATGGTCTCGAATTTGGCCGCTTTTGCTGCTAGATCTGATGCAGACATCTTTGCATTTCCTTGTTTTAATTTCTGTGCGAACGTAATAGGCCGCCTTTCACTTTCATCCGAAGCCAAATCTCCCCAAATTGAAGGGATTTCGTTTACTGCCATTTCGAGTTTGGTTCAAATTTATTTCTCAAAGAGTACTACAGTTGAAACTGTTAAATTAAATACTAAAAACTAGCCTATAAACCTGTTCAAAACGACGATACGCTTCAAACAGTCGGAGCTCCAAAAAGCGTGACCGGCCGCGGCGCCTTCTTGATCACGTTGTCTTCCCCGTCAGGTAAGTATGAACTACCATTTTGGCTATTGACAACTCGGCGGCTGCAGAAACAAGCCGACACATGTGGGAAGGCTGTTTCAGTACTCTCTGAATAGATCGATATGTTGAATATTGAGTGAAGAATGTTCAGTCTGACGAGGAAGATGATCAAGTACTGAAATATACTGAAATATAAAACTGATGTACTCACCATCCTTTTCGTGAAGAAAAACTAATCTTGCATTTTGCTCGATAAGTCGTGAGTCAGCCAGCAGTCGTCTGAAATTGAAAATAAGCCTTGAATTTTTGAGCACAAAAGTGGCTATGGCTCCTTCGACGGAAAAATTATTTCTTAGAAATAGGGTGGTATCATCTGCATATTGGGAAATTTTAACTTCTTTTCGTGAACCAGGAAGGCGGAGGCCATCAGTTTTGAGGTTTTGACGGATGAGGTTGCCCAGGGTCTCCGCTACTTTACAAAATAGTAGCGGGGACAATGGGCAGCCTTGTCTTACCCCACGTTTAAGGGTTACTTTCCTAGAAAGATAGCCGTTGTTGCTAATTTGGCAAGAAACATCGGTATACATGGTTTTTATAAAAGACATGAATTTTTGGCCGAAATTCATTCTCTCCAAGACTCTTAGAAGAAAGTCCCAGTTGACACGGTCAAAAGCTTTTTCTTGGTCAATTTTAATCAATGCAAGGGGGAGTTCTTTCTCCTGGCAGTAATCAATAGAGTCTCTTGCTAACATGAGATTTTCAAATATAGACCTGCCTGGTACGGAGCAAGTTTGGTCACTATTTAAAATTGATGGAAGTATCAGTTGCAGTCTATTTGCAAAGGCTTTGGAGCCAATTTTGTAATCGACATTAAGTAGGGAAATTGGTCTCCAGTTTTTGAGGAGTTCAATGTCTCCTTTTTTGTACAAGAGGGAGATTATGGCTAAACGCATAGATTCTGTGAGGAGGCCTCTATTAAAACAAAAGTTTAGTACTTTTACTAAGGCTTCGCCAAGTTCATCCCAGAAGAAATTATAAAATTCTGCTGGTAGCCCATCAGAGCCAGGCGATTTGTCTGATTTCATGTTAGTAAGGGCTTTGTGACATTCGTCTGCGGAAAGTGGTTCCTCAAGTAACAATTGGAAATTTTCGGGGACAAAACGATCAATCGTATTCAAAAGAGCATTTTGGTTTTCAATATTGACGGGTTCAGGGGAATAGAGGGACTCGTAGAAGTTAGCAATGCAGCCAAGCAGGTCCCTACTAGCATGTATTACTCTACCATCTGGTGTTTTTAGCTTACGAATGACTTTTTTAGATTGACGTGAATTCTCAAGGCTGAAAAAATAGCGCGAAGATTTCTCATTGGATTGGTATTCAAGGGCTTTTGCTCTGATGCGTGCACCATTAATATTATTGAGATCTAGTTCTTCAATTTCTCGTCTAATCAGGGGAACAGTCTCTTTTTCCTGTTGGTCAGGAGAAATTGTTGCCCGTTGGAGCTTTTCTTCCAAAATGGTGCGTTTCTCTCTCTTTTCTTTTGCTAAGCGTTTAGAAAACTTTTTGCATCTGTTTCTTATTTTCATTTTACCTATATCCCACCAAATGTGAAGTTTGCCTACAAAGTCTTTTTTGCGAGTAACCCAAAATTTCAAAAAAAGTTTCATGTTACAGGTAAATTTTTCATTTTCGAGAAGGCTAGTGTTGAATTTCCAAGTACCTCTGCCACGAGGTTGCGAATTTGGCAGTTTGAAGGACAGAAACGGGGCATCATGGTCAGAAAAGGGGAACACTGTTATCTCACAGTATTTGGTATTAGCTAAAATCTCAGGAGAAACATAAAATTTATCTAGTCTGGATGAAACTTTTGAATTGGTCCAGGTAAACTTGCGGGCAGAAGGGTGCATTGAACGAAATATATCAATAAGGTTAAAGTCCCTGAGAAGATCAGTTAGAGCTTCGAGGGCAGTGGAACCTGCTTGGCTGTCACCGCCTAGTTTATCGAGAAAAAGGTTAGTGATACAATTAAAGTCACCTCCGATGATTGTTGGAATTCCCCCCCTGATGTGAGGGGGTAGCGTTTGAAAAAAGGCCGCTCTTTCCCCTACGGGGCATGGGGCGTAGACATTTAAAAGTTGAAGGTTTGAATCTTCTGTGTCTAAGATAACATTGACCCATCGACCACAGTTGTCCTGAGTGACTTTGGGGCTTTTGGTAGGTAAGGACTCTGTAATGAGAGTGGTAACACCTCTGCTATGCTTTCCTCCAAAAGACGAGAAAATTGATCCTTTCCAGATGGTTTTAAGGAAGGTAGTGTCAGCAGGCTCAGAGAAGTAAGTTTCTTGCAAAAAGAATATTGATTCTTTCCTAGTTTTGAGCCAGTCCACTACATTTGAGCATTTAAGCGGGTCCCTAAGTCCATGAACATTTATTGATAATATATCAATGGCTGCCATTACTCACAGGGGGAGGGAGTTCCAAAATCATCGGCATTAAGAGGGGGCAGGGAGCCTAGCTGAACGACCTTTTGGCTTCTTTTTGGTAGAGGGCCTCCGGACGGCAGAAATGTCAGAGACACTGTCGTCCTGAAAGGACCTCTTAGAAGCCGCTGGAGCGCCAGCCTCGGCAGAGTATTTGGTAAAAATGGGAAGAGGAGAAGAAAAAGACAAAGAGGAGTTCATACCCTCAGGTGAAGGCGTTGGTGCATCATACCAGTTCTTCACCATTTGACCATTGTCATCTTGGGTGGTGGAGTCCTGGAGGCTGGCCAGCTCCTCGGGAGCAGCAATTAGGCGATTTTCAGTACCCTTGCTACCATCCGGCAATGTGCGAAGGTGGGTGACGACTGTCTTCTCTGGAACCGGGTCAGCGTTGGCACGTTCAGTTTGGTCACACCAGCTTGGTGACGGTTGAGCACTGCTGGATTTCTCACTTGCAGCTGGTGGGCAATTCGGGGAGCCTGCTGTTGCTTCCTCATCTTCGGAAAGGGCGGATTCTTGGGCCGCTGCTGCTTTCCCTTTCAAATTGTTGGTCAGACCATCCTCCTGAAGTGACAGATCGTAGGCCATGGTGGTGTTAGTCGGCGTTTCTGGAATGGAAATGCTGTCGGCTTCGTCGTCAGTAGAGGCAGCAGAGGAGGAGTCGATGTACCTGTTTGCCTCGGAAGTCCATGCGGCATCGCACTGAACAACATGGTGCTCAGTCGAACCACAACCCTGACAGCGACTGGCCTTGGGGCAGTCGGCATTGATATGGCCATTAGACCCACAGTTAAAGCACCTTTTAATGGTGCAATTGGCGGCGAAATGGTCCCTACTGTCACATCTCCGACAAGTCATTGGCTGGGCCTCATGTCGAACAAGTAGACAGTATGGACCAACGTGTACATAGCTAGGAATGGCTTCTTTGATGACCATTTTAAGGGTCATCGCACAATTTCCTATATCTGTACCAGGGTGAATATTCTCCCTAGCAAACAGGACACGACCGAAATTCTCCATCCTCTTCTGTACAATTTCCGGCAGCAGCTCCGCGGGAACGTGGAAGATGCGAACCCATACAGGGGGTGGATGCTGAAGACCCGGCTTCCATGGTATTCGCGGGCGACGAACAAATTCTAGGCTAAGGAACTGGTCTCTGTCCCCAATCGACGCAAAAGTAACTTCCAGGTCCCCATTTGGCAGCTTTTGGAGGTGAGTTGGTTTGAGGTCGTTATTTGCCAGCTTCTGAATGAAGGCCCTGCAGTCGATCAGCCCATCTGTAGCGTGGACACAGATGGATCGCGGCCTGTCTCTTCCCATGGGTGGGTTGCTTCTCAGGTTACCTGACCTCCCCACCATAACTTCCGTGAGAGCGATTGTAGCAGCAGCTGCATAGCTTCGGGGAGGACGACCTGTCTGGTCTACAGCATAGGGACGGTTTCTTCCTCCTGTTGCGATTACGGGACTTTCTGCTCCTGTAGCAATTGAGGGACTTTTTGACGGACGGCTGTTTTCTCCCGTGGCAATTCTGGGAGTTGATTCGGCGGCGCTTGTGGGCAACAACGGGCGGCTCACGACATCTGAGGCAGATGTGGGAGGTAAACGGACAGGTTTCGATCTTCGAGACGAGGGTACCTGCGGTACTCTAAACTTACGCATTTTCTTTTGATGCGTGGCAAGACGTTGGCGTTCTGTGGCAGAATCAGTATCTCCACAAGAACTGCTCTCTAACTCATTAAAGGATACTAGATCTTTGCTCCCAGAGGGCCTACTGCCCTTTGGAGCAAGCTCCTCGGCCATGCCCTAGCTAGTGGCCGAAGCCAAGAGCCAAAGCACTTCCCCCGTTAGGATACCTGTGGCAGTGGGCGTTGGTCGTCGTACCGACAGGTCCTAACAGGGAGAAAAGTCCCACAAGTGACGCTAAACTCACCCTTCTCGTGTTGCTCTCTACGATGCTGTGCCAATTCTTCTTCAATGTCCACCTCTTGACTTGTGGCACTTGATCTTAGCCAAAAGGCCGAGAAGCGATACCCAGTCTCATGTCTTCAGTTCAGACTCTCCACAAGTCTGCCTCGTTGCTTGCGGAGCGCTCAGTTTTTTTGCCTGTTGCCTGCCTGCCTGCCTGCTCCCTCACTCCAGCAGCAAAGTAATCAATCTGTGGATGTTGAAGAACGTCGTCGAGGTAAGTGAGTTAGTGAATGAGTTATTCGGCTTCACATGGCCACTCAGCAGCATGCAGCAGCGGTTGTGAGCTGCAACAGCAGGGAAAGGCGCTTTCTTCGAAAAAATATGGCTTAAGTTCTACAGCGCGCGCTGTTGCTCCGTGTTGTTGTGCTTACTCTTACTATCTATTCATGAACGAGCCTCCCCGTGACCCAAGAGGCAAAAAGACCACTAGACTATCATTGGGAAGAAGATTAAACTTAACTTTCAGCTTTCCTTGTGGCAGTCGGATTGGAGAACGGGATAAACTGAGAAGATGAGAGGATGGAAGCTGTTCTATGACTGCATTCTGTCACTGACTGATGATATGATTCTAAGAAAGCCGAAACCTTGCATATAGACACTTGTTCATTACTCGGCATAGTGGCAAACCCAAAGAGTTTATACAATTGAAGGAAAGGTTCACCATAGTTCGAACGTCGAACGATAAGAGATCAGTGATGGTTTTTTGAACTCCTTGAATCAAAATGCTTTTGTGATTGTTCTTTCTTACAAGTCACTTTGGTATCCATCGAAGACACTTTCACAATTGGCCTGTCATGTAATTATTGGGAATTGAACAATCCCTGAAAGCCCAGCTTATTGAAGCCTACTCATGAAAATCAATATTTTCAATTTTATGCTGCAAAAATTGCCAAAATATCCAAGATTTTTTCCGAAATTAAGTTACATAATCTTCAGAATGGGTATTGGGGGGGGGGGTTGGTTGTTGTCGAGACTCGTTCAAGTGCAGGCAGCTCATCCCCAGTAATGATGGTCAGCTTGGCTGCAAGTTAGATTTCTTGACATGGATATCAAACCCGCTAAGCAACCAAAAAGCATCTTGCCACTCCAACAATTAGAACAAACCATGAAACCATGTAAGGGAAATAAAAAACTGCAATCATCCCTACAAATGGCTATTAGAACGAATAGCTTTTAAAAAAAGTATTTGATTTGGAATTGTGAAAAATAGGCCATGCAGATTTCCAGAGGCCCAAGAATCTTCTTGCAATAATACAGTAATCCTTGCCTCAATTTTTGCCTGAATTGTTTTGACTTTCATTTTCACTTTGTCAAATTGACTTTACCAAGTTTCTAATTCTCAAATGCTAATTGACACTATGAAGCTCTTATCATTGCTTCTTGATTATTGCTATTTAGTATAATTATAGACAAACTTTTATAACATATTTTGATGCATTAAATAAATTCGAATTTGAATTTGAATTGAAGATAGGTTTGCTTGAGATTTGCAACATGCTGCTCTGAAAGTTGCAAAGTATGTATATTTGGACAGGAAGATTTTTTTCTGTGTTGAACTTGAATTAATTTGGCCTTTTTTATCAAATGCTACAAGATAGGCATGCTAAAGCCATAACATTTCAGAAACGATGATTGTCCTGCTTGAAAGGATCATATTTAAGACAACATTACTACGGCAGACGACGAACAAGGTTAAGGCAGACAAAGGCAAAGCAAACAATGACAAGTCTTTGTATAACAATCTACCTCTATTGTATATTGTATATTGTATATTGAGAGTGATCAAGAAGGCGCAATGGGCGGCTTTATTTGAGGAACTGCTTGTGGGATTCTGCTTGGGTTGGCTGGATTCTTTAGACAATTGTGAGGGGACTAGCGCGAACGCAGGTCCCCACTACCAGAAATTGTACGGTCGAGTTACCCACGTTTGGGGTAATCGCAGGGGTCAGCCCAACCGAACTGCAATGGAAGGGCCTCACCCTGGAAGAAACGCCTTCTTGATCACGTTGTCTTCCCCGTCAGGTAAGTATGAACTACCATTTTGGCTATTGACAACTCGGCGGCTGCAGAAACAAGCCGACACATGTGGGAAGGCTGTTTCAGTACTCTCTGAATAGATCGATATGTTGAATATTGAGTGAAGAATGTTCAGTCTGACGAGGAAGATGATCAAGTACTGAAATATACTGAAATATAAAACTGATGTACTCACCATCCTTTTCGTGAAGAAAAACTAATCTTGCATTTTGCTCGATAAGTCGTGAGTCAGCCAGCAGTCGTCTGAAATTGAAAATAAGCCTTGAATTTTTGAGCACACAAAGAGGGGTAGCTAGAAATGACTGACTACTAAACAGGCAGGCAGACAAAAAAGCAAGATCAGAAGAACACAAAAACACAACACGTTGAAGGCTTCGCAGTCTGTGTATATTTGATTAACAATCATAAATAAAACTATGTCTAGTACAAGGTTTAAACTACTTAACTACTATGGAAAAGCAACCAACTACATACAATGTTACCTAGCTCCTAGTTAACATTGTAGTTAGTTAGCCAGTCATATCAACAATATGGACTTGAATGATTGCAACTGTGAAAATGTGAAAATCGTTGTTTTCTTGCCAATTGATGAAAAGGGGCTGGGCCACCCATGGCTGTACTGCAATGCCAGGGCAACCCGTGCTCGCGGTGAGGCAAGCCTCATGCCGACAAGCTAGTTCCAAAAATCAGTTTAATATTTGAGCGCCCTTGGGCGCATATCAGATATTAAGCTGATAAGAACAGATACTACACTTGATCTTAGCCAAAAGGCCGAGAAGCGATACCCAGTCTCATGTCTTCAGTTCAGACTCTCCACAAGTCTGCCTCGTTGCTTGCGGAGCGCTCAGTTTTTTTGCCTGTTGCCTGCCTGCCTGCCTGCCTGCTCCCTCACTCCAGCAGCAAAGTAGTCAATCTGTGGATGTTGAAGAACGTCGTCGAGGTAAGTGAGTTAGTGAATGAGTTATTCGGCTTCACATGGCCACTCAGCAGCATGCAGCAGCAGTTGTGAGCTGCAACAGCAGGGAAAGTCGCTTTCTTCGAAAAAATATGGCTTAAGTTCTACAGCGCGCGCTGTTGCTCCGTGTTGTTGTGCTTCCTCTTACTATCTATTCATGAACGAGCCTCCCCGTGACCCAAGAGGCAAAAAGACCACTAGACTATCATTGGGAAGAAGATTAAACTTAACTTTCAGCTTTCCTTGTGGCAGTCGG